GACTTCGTGGTCGGATGTGAGGGGAGCAGCCGACCTGCAGCAGTGGGCGCGCTGGTTGACGAGGAGGTCGACCTGCACGGGGACCGCTGCTCGGGCGCAAACTTCATGGTGGCACCAACTTCAGGGAGGTCGACCTGGGAAGTCGACCTGCGGAGGACGTCAACTTGGTGACGTCAACTTGGGGCAGCCGACTTGGGTGGTTGGCTGACGGACTGCTGGTCGACCTGGTGGTTGGTCGACCAGGCCTCCTACTCGACGCCCAACCGCTCGGCGTCCAGAGTCGAGGTCGACGTCGGCCCCTCCTTCGTCAACCACCAGGTCAGGTCGACCACCATCAGGTCGACCTGGTGAGGTCGACGTGGAGGTGGTCGTCGACTTGGGAGATCCACGGGCACGTACAGGAGCAGCTGGTCGACGTGGTTGCCAAGTCGACCTGGTTACCTGGGTGACGGTCGCCCAGGCGAAGATGGCGAGTCTGACCTCGGAGGTGGTATCCCGAGGTCGACGTGGCTGATCAGATGCAATCGTCAGCGCCAGGTTGACTTGGTATGTGCGTTGTGCAGGTGACAAGGCCTAGCACGCCAATCATCTGCGAGCACATGCGAAGCTGGTGCGCTGCTGTTCTGCGTGAGCAGCGCTGGCACGCCGTCAACCTGCAACGTTGGCACGCCGTCGACTTTGCACTGCTGGAGCGCGGTCGACCAAGTCGTGCTAGAACGCGGTCGACCATGCTGTGCTGGCAGTCGACCGACCTGAATGCTAGCTCTGATGTAGTCTTGCCATGCCAACTTCATTGTCCCATATTGTTGTCAACTTTCTCTAGTGAAACTCTTGCCAATTCTCCCCGTGAACTAGCAAGCTGTGTGTGCACTAGGAAAAAGACGAAGGACCAACGAACGCAGAGATCATACGAGCACCCGTGCCTAGCCCGTAGTCTAGCTCCCGTTGTAGTAGTTATATCCGCATGGTGTGGTGAGCGTGGACGGCACACGACTTACCTTTCAGTCAGGTCGACGTAGTGGTCACTTACCTAAGTTGCTCGTAGGCCGGCAGCCGTACAGTCCCTAGCGTGCGCATAGGTGACACAAAGGTGATGGACACCCTAGAGGGACGGCTGGAGGATGCAAGGAGACGCCATGAGGCCAAGGAGTATGGGGCGATACCCTGGGCGGTCGTCGAGGCTGGACTCCGCTCCATGTGGGCGATGGAGCATCCCCCTTTCCGACCAGCTTCTCCTCGATCGGTAACCAACAAAGGCGGCATCGACGTGGGCGTCAACGCCGGAGGTGGCCAAGTCGGCAGCAGTGCGGTAGGCACGTCGAGGCAGCGTGGTGTGATACACGCCGATGAAGTCGGCGGCGTTCAGGCACGAGGGGTGCGGTCGTCGGCGGCTGCAGGCTCCTCGCAGGGTGACGTCGGAGGTTGACAAAGCAGACTGTCGCCGATGTCGGCGAAACAGGTGACGGCGGGCGGGATAGCACCGAGCTACGGCTACTTCAAGTTTACGCCGGACAGGATCTTGGTCACCCCGCCACTCACCGGTCGACCTGACATTCTCACCTGGAAGGAGGCCATCGAGCCTCAGCTGGAGATGCCCGGGCTGATCAGCTTTGCTCGAGGTACCGTGGCGACGCCGGACGACCCCGACTTGCGTGCGGAGTTTCGCGCCATGCAGCTGTTGACCTTCACAGTCATCTCGCGGTGCTGCTCGCCGGGCGTGCAGATCGCCTTGAAGTGGTGCCGAGAGTACCTCGACGCCGGCCACCAGGCGTGGCACTTCATCGAGTCGACCTACCAAGTCACCGACGACTTGTTCATCGCCCAGCTAGAGGGACAGCTAACGCACCTGCGTGTGGGCGACGAGGAGATGGCGATCGACTACTGCAACCGAGCCCGGCGAATTCTTGCCACCATCAGGATGGCCGGCGCGCAGTATTCGACGGCGTCGTACGTCACCCACGTCATGCAGGGACTCTCGAGCAGCTACAACCTCCTGAAGTGACTGTCGATGGCGCCGAGCACGAGGACGGCGCTCAACGAGGACAACTTGACCTCGTACATCTTGCAGGACGAGGCGATGCAGGAGGCAGAGCGGTCCCAGGATCTCTTGGCACAGGCAAAATTCGTTGCCCCGGCGAAGCAAGGTGGCCAACCGAGGTAGCGCGGACAGTCTGGCGGCGGTGGTAGCAGTGGCTGGATGCCGGCCAAGGAGGTCGACAAGAAGAAGTTGACCAAGGACAGTGGTCGAGGAGGAGGAGGTCGACGTCGGGAGTGCTGGCTGTGCGGCGACCCCGACCACCTCTCCTTCGAGTGCCCCGACCGCAGTGACTCCGACGACGACGACGCCAAGGGAGGCCGCGGGAGGTCTGGCAGTCGTCGTCCTCGTCAAGAAGGAAACAAGCCGCGCAAGGAGAAGCAGTCGACGACGTCGACCTCGGCGAAGGACGCCGACTCCTCTGCTGGCGGCAAGGCGCGGGACGACAAGACGGCGTCGTGCTCGCTGGTCAGCGTCGTGAAGCCGACCGTCTCGCTGGCGCCGGAGGCCAGGGAGGACTTCCAGGCGGTGGCGGCAGCTGTGCAGGCGAACCCGGCAGTGGTCCTGCTCAAAAGCGGTTGCTCCCACCACCTGATGGGGACGAAGGAAGTCTTCGTCGACCTGCAGCCAAGCGGCTCCATCAAGCACATGCGCGGCTTCAATGGGGCGCTGCAGGACGTCCAGGGCCGCGGCACCGTCGCCCTGCAAGGGGAGGCCGGGAAGCAGGTGCTCATCCCCGATGTGCTGTACGTCCCGGGTGTGCGGGCAAACCTGTTGTCGTCCGGCCAGCTGAAGGAGCACGGCGTGAAGCTGCAGGAGGACGGAGACGGAATGTTGCTCGTCTCGGCAGCGGGAGAGGTGCTCGGACGGGCGACGTACTCTGGGCGTGTCCTCTGCACCGACCTGCGTCCCTGCTCAACGAGGTCGACGTCACCCACGCCGGAGGTTGTGGCCATGCGGGCGATTGTCTCGAAGACGAAGTCGACGCCGGACAGGATGCATGCGAGGCTTGTGCACGTCGGCATGGACACCATACGGAGTTCGGCAAAGAACGAGGTCGCCATTGGGCTGGACCCCAAGTCGGCGACGGGCGCCGACTCACCGTGTGTCTCGTGCGTCGGCGGGAAGCTGGCATGGCACACCTTCCCCGACCAAGGCTCCGACGCCGACGACGTGCTGGCCGTCGTGCACATCGACCTGTGCGGGCCGTTCCGCGTGGCTGCCAAGGACGGCAGCTTGTACTTCCTGCTGCTGAAGGACCGCAAGACCCGCTTCGTGTGGGTGAGGCCGGTCGCCAAGAAGTCGGACGTGCTGCTGGAGTTCCAGCGGTGGCTGGTGCTGGTGGAGAGGCAGGTGAAGAAGTCGGTGCTGATGCTACACTCGGACCGAGGAGGGGAGTTCCTTGGGAAGAAGTTCACCGACTTCGTGGACGGCAAGGAGACCGTCCACGACCTTACCTGCCCGTACACCCCGCAGCAGAACGGCATGGCGGAGCGGGAGATGAGGACGGTAGTGGAGTCGGTGCGGACGATGCTGCTGCACATGGGCGTGCAACACCACTGGTGGCACCTCGCTCTGCGGCAGGCCGTCTGGATTCGCAACTGCCTTGAGAGGTCGACGCTGCCGCCAGGGACGACGCCGTACCAGCTGCTGGTCGGCCAGAAGCCCGACTTGTCGATGGCGTGGGTGTGGGGCTGCATGGCGCAGTTCCTTGTCCCTGAGCAGCAGCGTGGTGGGAAGCTGAAGCCGAAGGCCAGGTGGGGCCTTCACCTTGGCGTGTCGGGGGAGAGCAAGGGCTGGGAGCTCCTCGACATCGACGCCAACCGGGTGGTCACCACGTCTGACGTGGTGTTTTACGAGGATATGTCGCTGGAGGTGTGGAAGTCGGAGCACGGGCCGGTGTCAGGTCGGACGCCGACCACCCCACCGACCAATACCTCGACGGCGACGCTGCCTCTGCTCGCCGAGGTCGGTGAGCTTGCTGATGGGGACGCCGAGGTCGTCCGTCCTCCTTCCCCTTCCCCTACGACCCCTGCCCCTCCCCTCGTGGCCGACTTGCACGGGCTGACTCCTATGTCGGCCTCCGGCAATGAGGGGAGTAGTGGGACGTCGCCTTCGGCGCCGGCCAAGGGCATCGCCGGTGGCCGACGTGACGAGAGGCAAGTCGACGTGGGATTGAAGCCGACGTCGACAGGGGAGGAACAGGTCGAGGAGCAGCAGCCGACAGGGGAGCAGGCAGCAGTGAAGCCGACCACAGGGGAGAGGTCGACCAGGAAGTCGATCGAGGTGCAGCAGGACGACGAGGGCAGTGAAGACGGTGACGAAGGAGGGGATGCCGGGGAGTCCACCAAGAGTGACGTGGTGGAGGTTCGGCCTGAACCCCGGAAGTCGGATCGAGTTCGGAGGCCGCCGGACTTCTTCATCCTCGTTGCCTTCACCACAGTGTACGACGTGGACGATGACGACGAGCTGCTGTACGACGACGCCGAGGAAGATGAGGGGTTTCCGGAGCTCGACCGTGACGTGCTGGCCGACCCCGAACACCGTTGGGACATCTCGACGATGACGGTGAAGGAGGCTTTGGCGAGCTGGAAGGGCCCGGCGGTGAAGGCCGCTATGGAGGAGGAGATCCGCAGCCTCATCAACATGGGCACGTGGGAGCTGGTCGAACGCCCACTGGGGGTCAACATCATGAAGAACCGGTGGGTGTTGACGATGAAGTACCACATCGACGACACCGTCGAGCGCGAGAAGGCGAGGCTGGTCGTGAAGGGCTTCACGCAGGTGTACGGCGTCGACTACGACGAGACGTTCGTGCCGGTGGGCAGCTACGTCACGCTGAGGGTCTTCCTCAGCATCGTCGCCGTCCTCAACCTCAACCTGATGTAGCTCGACATGAAGAACGCCTTCCTGCAGAGCAAGCTTGATCGGGTGCTCTACATGTCCCAGCCAGACTACTTCAACGATGGAACCGGCCGGGTGTGCAAGCTGCTGAAGAGCCGGTACGGGCTGAAGCAGTCGCCGCTGCTATGGTACTTGGCGCTCAACGACGTGCTGGTTGACGCCGGGTGGAAGAAGAGTCAGGTCGACGAGGCTCTGTACTTCAATGTCGGCGACGACGGAGTGGCCTGCTGGGTGTTGGTCTACGTCGACGACCTGCTCGCCGCCAGCAGCAGCACCGAGATGCTGAAGGAGCTGAAGGAGCTGCTGGAGGCCGCTTTCAAGCTGCGCGAGATCTCGCCGGTGCAGAAGTACCTCGGGCTGGAGATCGTCCGCGACAAGTCGGCGGGGAAGCTGTGGCTGCACCAGCAGGGCTACGCCGACAAGCTGCGTAGGCGCTTCATCGACGAGGAGCAGACCGGGCGCACTCCGAAGACGCCGGTCTCGGTCGACGCCTACGCCTACGCCTACGCACTGCCTACAGCACATAGCTAGAGTAAGTCACACCCCCTGAAGGGGTATTGCAGGCGTTGTGAAAGACGGTAGAGAGGTAAGTGAGGAGGAGGAGGCGAGAGAGAGACAGGAGAGGAGAGGAGATAAGAACAAAGGAGGAGGTGAGTGAGGGATGAGGAGAGGAGGTGGGGGGGTGGCCGCGGCGTTCCCTCTTACTAACCCCCTTTTACACAGGGGGGGTTGAGTGGGGGATGAGGAGTGGAGGTGGGGGGGTGGCTGCAGCGTCCCCTCTTACTAACCCCCACACCCCCACCCCCAATCAACCAACCCCCTGTAACCTCACCCCCCATTTCAACCGCCCCTTGGAACTGCACTCCCCCCCCCCCCCCTCCTCCAGACCCCTCCCCACCCACGATGGTCCCTGTCCAGTTCTTCACAGGTGGGGCTGCTGGTCACAGGTGGGGCTGCTGGTCACAGGTGGGGCTGCTGGTCACAGGTGGGGCTGCTGGTCACAGGTGGGGCTGCTGGTCACAGGTGGGGCTGCTGGTCACGGGTGGGGCTGCTGGTCACAGGTGGGGCTGCTGGTCACAGGTGGGGCTGCTGGTCACAGGTGGGGCTGCTGGTCACGGGTGGGGCTGCTGGTCACAGGTGGGGCTGCTGGTGCTGGTGCCTGGTTGCTGGCGTGTCGGCGCTGGTGACGGTGCTGGTGCTGGTGCCTGGTGCTGGCGGCTGGCGCTGGTGCCTGGTGCTGGCGGCTGGCGCTGGAGCTGGTGCCTGGTGCTGGCGGCTGGCGCTGGAGCTGATGCCTGGTGCTGGCGGCTGGCGCTGGTGCTGGTGCCTGGTGCTGGCGGCTGGCGCTGGTGCTGGTGCCTGGTGCTGGCGGCTGGCGCTGGTGCTGGTGCCTGGTGCTGGCGGCTGGCGCTGGTGCTGGTGCCTGGTGCTGGCGGCTGGCGCTGGTGCTGGTGCCTGGTGCTGGCGGCTGGCGCTGGTGCTGGTGCCTGGTGCTGGCGGCTGGCACTGGTGCTGGTGCCTGGTGCTGGCGGCTGGCACTGGTGCTGGTGCCAGGTGCTGGCGGCTGGCGCTGGTGCTGGTGCCTGGTGCTGGCGGCTGGCGCTGGTGCTGGTGCCTGGTGCTGGCGGCTGGCGTTGGTGCTGGTGCCTGGTGCTGGCGGCTGGCGCTGGTGCTGGTGCCTGGTGCTGGCGGCTGGCGCTGGTGCTGGTGCCTGGTGCTGGCGGCTGGCGCTGGTGCTGGTGCCTGGTGCTGGCAGCTGGCTCTGGTCCTAGTGCCTGGTGCTGGCGGCTGGCGCTGGTGCTGGTGCCTGGTGCTGGCAGCTGGCTCTGGTCCTGGTGCCTGGTGCTGGCGGCTGGCGCTGGTCCCGGTGTCTGGTGCTGGTGTGACGGCGCTGGTGCCGGTGCTGGTGTTGGTGACTGGCTTCTGTGCTGGTGCTGGTGCTGGTTTCTGGTGCTGGCGGCTGGCGCTGGTGCCTGGTGCTGGCGCTGGTGCTGGTGCCTGGTGCTGGCGCCTGGTGCTGGTGTTCCGCCGCCACTCCCTTCCCCCTTTTCCTCTCTCCCCCACAGCATTCCGCCGCCACTCCCTTCCCCCTTTTCCTCTCCCCCCCACAGCGTTCCACCGCCAATCCCTTCCCCTCCTCCCTCTCCCACCCACAGCGACCGCCGCTGCACACGCGTACAGTCGCGACGGGGGGGGGTGACGGGCAGGGGGGCGGGGGAATGCGACGGGCGGAGCGAGGCGACGGGAGGGAAGAAAGCGGGACGGGGGGGGGAAGGGCCTCGACGACCGCCACGGACGTCGTCCCCTTCATTCCCGATTCTCTGCGATGCTGTACGGTTCCGGGCGGGGTAAAGTAGCTGGTGGGGCGGCTGACTTCAGGATGAGGTGACTGGAACGGGGTGGTACAACGGGCACCGGGTGGTTCAGCGGGGACGGGTGAGACGGTAACGCAGCTGACGAGCTGCACGTGCGTGCGGCTATTGCTGCGCGTGCGTGCAGCTATGGCCGCGCGTGCGTGCTGCTAATGCCGCGCGTGCGTGCGGCTAATGCTGCACGTGCATGCAGCTAATGATGCACATGCGCTCGGTCGCATGTGCGGCTACGCTTGCACGTGCGCATGCGTCTGCTGCGCGCTAGTGGGCTGGCGAGCTACGCACGGGGCAGAGAACGGGTGAAGCGCGGGTGAGAAAACTGGTGACGCACGAGGCAAAACGGGTGACGCGAGCGGGGCAAAACGGGCGCTACGGACTAGATCGGGGCACGGGGCGGTGGGCCCATAGGACGGTCTAGCTCTATACCATGTTACAATACTACGTTAACTAGGAACCGGGGTTTACTATTGGCCTAGGCTTAGTAGCCTAGGCCAAGCGGGTGTCGAGTGGTTGTCACCAGGGAGAATTGAAGAATGTGTGTTGTTCACTATAGCACACAAGGTACATATAGCAAACTAGCAAGGGTGCACCACCAACAACAAGGAAACATAACTACACTAGAGCTAAAGCTACAGGTAGTTATAAACATATATAAATATATATTGCGACAGAAGTTGTGGCTGCACCAGCAGGGCTATGCCGACAAGCTGCGTAGGCGCTTCATCAACGAGGAGCAGACCGGGCGCACTCCGAAGACGCCGGTCTCGGTCGACGCCTACGCCGAGCTCACCTTCGACGACGAGGAGGCACAGGAGAGACAGGAGGAGGAGGACCGGCAGAAGGTCGGCTCGCTGCAGTTCGCGGCGACGACGACGAGGCCGGACATCGCCTTCGCCTGCAGCAAGCTGGGGAGTGGCCTCACGGTGCGGAGCGACCAGCACTGGCGCGAGGTCGACCGCTGCCTCGCCTACCTCGCCAACACACGTGACACCGCCCTGGAGTTCGGCGGTGGACCTGAGTCGCTGGAGCTGGTCGGCTACGTGGACGCCGACGACGCCGGTGACAAGCAGAACAGGACGAGCACGGGCGGCTACGTGTTCGTCTACGGAGGGGCCGCAGTCTCCTGGTCGAGCCAGCGCATCAAGTGCGCGACGCTGTCGTCGACCGAGTCGGAGTACGTGGCAGCCACCGAAGCCGGCATGGAGGGACGTCGGCTTCGCTTCCTCATCGCAGAGTTCCGGCAGCTGGATGCCGGGAAGCCGACCGTCCTCCTGGTGGACAACAAGTCGGCCATCACAGTCGCCGAGGGCATGGGGTTGACGGGCAACCCCAAGCACATGGAGCGGCGACAGGCCTGGCTGCAGCACATGGTGAAGCGCGGGAAGTTCTCGCTGAGGTACATCCCGACCACCGAGCAGCCCGCCGACTTCCTGACGAAGGCGCTGCACTATCCGGCCTTCAACCGGTGCTCCATCGCCATCGGCCAGGTGCGTTTGGCCGACGTGGGCAATGAAGTTGACGACGTGCAGCAGTAGGTGCCATGCCCTCTTGCATGACTGGTGCGGTGGACAACGTGCTGTGAGTAGGGTGCACGTTGACGAGCTATTCTCCGAGGAGTACTGCCGTATGAGCTGGGGAGGCCCAAGCGTGAACGCGGCAGGGGAGTGTCAACGGGAGTTGGAGTTTGCCCCGTCCTCGCTTGGGCGGAGCTGACTTCGTGGTCGGATGTGAGGGGAGTAGCCGACCTGCAGCAGTGGGTGGGCTGGTTGACGAGGAGGTCGACCTGCACGGGGACCGCTGCTCGGGCGCCGAATTTTGGGGGGCGCCAACTTCAGGGAGGCCGACCTGGGAAGTCGACCTGCGGAGGACGTCAACTTGATGACGTCAACTTGGGGCAGCCGACTTGGGTGGTTGGCTGACGGACTGCTGGTCGACCTGGTGGTTGGTCGACAAGGCCTGCTGGTTGACCTGATGGTGGTCGACCTGACCTGGTGGTCGACGAAGAAGGGGCCGACGTCGACCTCAACTCAGGACGTCGAGCGGTTGGGTGTTGAGTAGCAGGGCGTCAACTTGGTGACGCCGACTTCGGGTAGCCAACTTCGGAGGTCGGCTGACAACTGCGCTGGTCGACGAGGAGCTGGTCGACCAGGAGTGCTGGTCGACGTGGAGCTGGTCGACCAGAAGTGACGTCGCCGTGGAGCTGGTCGACCAGGGGCGTGGTCGACCTGGTGAGGTCGACGTGGAGGTGGTCGTTGACTTTGGAGGTCGACGGTCACGTACAGGAGCAGCTGGTCGACGTGGTTGCCAAGTCGACCAGGTTACCTGGGTGACGAAGTTCTGCGGAGGAGTGCGACGGTCGCCCAGGCGAAGTTGGCGAATCCGACCTCGGAGGTGGTATCCCGAGGTCGACGTGGCTGATCAGATGCAATCGTCAGCGCCAAGTTGACTTGGTATGTGCGTTGTGCAGGTGACAAGGCCTAGCACGCCAATCATCTGCGAGCACCTGCGAAGCTGGTGCGCTGATGTTCTGCGTAAGCAGCGCTGGCACGCCGTCAACCTACAACCTTGGCACGCCGTCGACTTTGCACTGCTGGAGCGCGGTCGACCAAGTCGTGCTGGAACGCGGTCGACCATGCTGTGCTGGCAGTCGACCGACCTGAATGCTAGCTCTGATGTAGTCTTGCCATGCCAACTTCATTGTCCCATATTGTTGTCAACTCTCTCTAGTGAAACTCTTGCCAATTCTCCCCGTGAACTAGCAAGCTGTGTGTGCACTAGGAAAACGACTAAGGACCAACGAACGCAGAGATCACACGAGCACCCGTGCCTAGCCCGTAGTCTAGCTCCCGTTGTAGTAGTTATCTCCGCATGGTGCGGTGAGCGTGGACGACACACGACTTACCTTTCAGTCAGGTCGACGTAGTGGTCACTTACCTAAGTTGCTCGTAGGCCGGCAGCCGTACAGTCCCTAGCGTGCGCATAGGTGACACAGTGGTGATGGACACCCTGGAGGGACGGCTGGAGGATGCAAGGAGACGCCATGAGGCCCAGGAGTATGGGGCGATACCCTGGGCGGTCGTCGAGGCTGGACTCCGCTCCATGGGGGCGACGGAGCATCCCCTTCACGCAGGTATACGGCGCCGACTACGACGAGACGTTCTCGCTCGACGGTGTCATCGACGTGGTACTTCGTCGTCAACACCCACCAGTTCTTCATGATGTTGACCCCCAGCGGGCGTTCAACCAGCTCCCACATACCCATGTTGATGACGCTGCGGATCTCCTCAACGGGAGCGGATATGACTACTACAACGAGAGCTAGACTACGGGCTAGGCACTGGTGCTCGTGTGATCTCTGTGTTCGTTGGTCCTTAGTCGTTTTCCTAGTATACACACTGCTTGCTAGTTCACGGGGCAAGTTGGCAAGAGTTTCACTAGAGAAAGTTGACAACAATAAGTACAATGAAGTTGGCATGGCAAGACTATATCAGAGCTAGCATTCAGGTCGGTCGACTGCCAGCACAGCATGGTCGACCGCGTTCTAGCACGACTTGGTCAACCGCGCTCTAGCAGTGCAAAGTCGACGGCGTGCCAACGCTGCCGGTCGACGGCGTGCCAGCGTAGCTCCCGCAGCACAGCATCGCACCAGCTTCGCAGGTGCTCGCAGATGATTGGTGTAATGAGCCTTGTCACCTGCACAGCGCACACACCAAGTCAACCTGGCGCTGACGACTGCAACTGATCAGCCACGTCGACCTCGGGATACCACCACCGAGGTCGGACTCGCCAACTTCGCCTGGGCGACCGTCGCACTCCTCCGCAGAACTTCGTCACCCAGGTAACCTGGTCGACTTGGCAACCACGTCGACCAGCTGCTCTTGTATGTGCCCGTCGACCTCCCAAGTCGACGACCACCCCAAGTCGACCTCACCAGGTCGACCACGCCCCTGGTCGACCAGCTCCAGGTCGACCAGCACTCCTGGTCGACCAGCTCCGCGTCGACCAGCGCAGTTGTCAGCCAACCACCCAAGTCGGCTACCCGAAGTCGGTGTCACCAAGTTGACGCCCAACCACTCAACGCCCTGCTGCTCGGCGTTCTGAGTTGTGGTTGATGTTGGCCCCTCCTACGTTGACCACCAGGTTAGGTCGACCACCAGGTCGACATCACGCCTGGTTGACCTACCATCAAGTCGACCAGCAGGCCTTGTCGACCAACCACCAGGTCGACCAGCAGTCCTGTCAGCCGACCACCCAAGTCGGCTGCCCCAAGTTGACGTCCTCCGTAGGTCGACTTCCCAGGTCGACCTCCCTGAAGTCAGCTTCATACTGAAGTCGACCCCGTGCAGTGGTCCCCGTGCAGGTCGACCTCCTCGTCAACCAGCTCGCCCACTGCTGCAGATCGGCTGCTCCCCTCACATCCGACCACGAAGTCGGCTCCGCCCAAGCGAGGACGGGGCCAACACACAACTCACGTTGACGCTCCCCTGCCGCGTTCACGCTTGGGCCCCCCAGCCCACACGGCAGTAATCGTCGGAGAAAAGCTCATCGACGTGCACCCAACACCCAGCACGTCGTCCACCGCACCAGCCATGCAAGAGGGCATATCACCTACTGCTGCACGTCGTCAACTTCGTCGCCCACGTCGGCCAAGCGCACCTGGCCGATGGTGACGGAGCACCGGTTGAAGGCCGGATAGTGCAGCGCCTTCGTCAGGAAGTCGGCCGGCTGCTCAGCGGTCGGGATGTACTTCAGCGAAAACTTCCCACGCTTCACCATGTGCTGCAGCCAGGCCTGTTGCCGCTCCATGTGCTTGAGGTTGCCCGTCAAC